AAAAAAAAGGGTGCCATCGATTGGAAGGCCTCGCGGGGCGTTCCTTGAGTGAAGGCCCTCCCCTGAGCCTGGTATCAATCAATCAGGAAGAAATTGGGCTTCCAGCTCCACAGAAATTTCCTTGGGCTCGATCCGCCCTTTAAAATGCATCAGAAAGACCCTGAGAAAACGCGCCACCAACCTCATTGTTCCAACCCACCTCTGCTCCGGGGACAAACTCTATGGCTACTGGGCCAAGGGGCCGGAACCCGATGCAAGACAGAGCGCTTGCACCGAGGGGGAGCGACCGGTACCGAAACCCTAGGGAAGGCATCGAAAAAACCCGGGAAAATTCGTGAATCACGGGGTCACCCCCTCCCCCCATAAGGATTCGCCCGGGCCCAAGGGCCTTGTCTGAAGAGCGATTTTGGGAAAACCCACCTTTGACCTCTCAGCGGAAAAAGTGGGGGTATTATTCAAAGTAAATCCCCACCTGGATGGGGGAACCCACGACAAACCGGCTCACCCCCAAAGCGCTGTGAAGAAGGGCTGAACCAGTCATACCTCTGGGTGCCCGCGGGTGCCGCAGCAGCCGCGGCGGTTAGCCAACAAGCGAACAGCAGCGGGAGCGACCACCGAGTGACGACCGGCCTAATAACACCAGGAGTAAGGTGGCGCGTGCGTGCCAGCAGAGTTTGCAACGCCTTGAGCGAACTATCCAACAGGAGAATCCTGCTGATCCAGTCTGGCGACCAACATTGGAAGTGAAGGCGTACCTGCACCGTCAGGATTCATAGCACTTGTGTAATGTCAGGGGCAGGGCTGTGGAACGGACAGGTAGGCCTAGTGGCAGGGTAATGCACTGGCTGACGACAAGTCACGACCAACAGACCGAAGTCCCTCAGGGCGCGGAGTCTAAGTCCCAGGCTGCCCTTCACCAGGGCCCCTGATGGTGGGGGATGGACTTGACGCAGCCAGGAACCAGGTCGCGGCCCCCGAGACACCCCGGCTGCGGTAATGGCCGCCGCCAATGGCGTGTAGCTGGTGAGAATGACAATAGCGTAGTCAGGCAAGCCGGGTCAACAACCAACGGGACAAAACAGTACAGAACAGTAGACAGAGAATCACAGGTCACGGGCCGGGTTCAGCAACGGAAGGTCAGATCAAAGGGAAACACAGAGAATGGTCTTAGTCACAAGCCGAGTCAGAATACCAGAAGAGTCACGAGGTGTATACACAGAGCTGTAGGCAAGACAAAGACACAAGACACAAGTGCAAAGAGCATGTGCAGATCCCAGGCTTATATGTACTCAGCCACCACCCTTGGGGGATGGACCTCAGAGACCTGAAGGCATAAAAGATTCCCATCATGCTCAGCAGAAATCCAAGATGGATGCCAGCACATGGAGTAACATAACCTATGGGAAAAGGTAGGACCTTGACAGTCCTCCCATTCTAACCGTGCATGCACGGCTCCAGGAGCACGCAGCGTGGTGATCGGCAGTGCGCTGTGTCCCTCGGACACAGCAGATCACCGATCAATGGATAAGAGCGGAAGATTTCGTCTCAGCATGTGATCAGCTGTGTCCAATGCCGGTTATCGGCATTTCTCTCCTCACAAGCTGTGACGCTGACAGCTCGAGAGGAGAGGAGAGCCGGTGAAATCGGGCATTCCTCGGGAGGGGACATGTACACTGATCATCAGAGGCACTGATGATCAGCATGCCTTGATGACCAGTGTAGCCCCAGCAGTGCCGCCTGTTAGTGTCCACCAATGCCAGCTGTCAGTGCTCATCAGTGCCACCTGCCAGTGCCCATTAGTGCCACATCAATGCCACATATCAGTGCCTACCAGTGCACATCTATGCAACATATAAGTGCCCATCTGAGCTGCCATTCAGTGTCACCTATCAGTGCCAGTCAGTGCCACCTATTAATGCCAGTCAGTGCCACCTATCAGTGCTGCCAATCAGTGCCACCTATCAGTGCCAGTCAGTGCCAACTATCAGTGCGCATCAGTGTCGCCTATCAGTGCCCATCAGTGCTGCCTATCAGTGCCACCTAACAGTGCCAGTCAGTGCCGCCTATCAGTGCCATATATTAGTGCTGCCTTTCAGTGCCCATCAGTGATGCCTGTCAATGCCCATCAGTGCCACCTACAAGTGCCTCCTCATCAGTGCCAGCTATCAGTGCCCATCAATGCAGCCTCATTAGCGGCATATCAGTGAAGGAGAAAGATCACTTATTTACAAATTTTTAAAACAAAAACTAAGAAAAAAACTTTTTTTTTTTTCAAAATTTTCAGTTGTTTTTGGTTTGTTTAGCAAAAAAAATAAAAAACCAGAGGTGATTAAATACCACCAAAATAAAGCTCTATCTGTCTTAAAAAAATGATAAAAATGTTATATGGGTACAGTGTTGCATGGCCGCATAATTGTCATTCAAAGTGTTACAGCGCTGAAAGCTGAAAATTGGCCTGGGCAGGAAGGGGGTATAAGTGCCTAGTAGGCTAGTGGTTAAAGAGGGTTATAACTCCCATCTGTGTCCCAATGGGGAGGATTTCCCTTAACTTACAGTCCATAATCGAAACAGGAAGTGAGAGAAAATCTTTTCAAAGTGAGGGAATCCCTGGTTGTACCCAATACAGATTTCCCCTCTATTTCTGTTTTGTGACAGCCCAAAATTTAGGATTTGCTTTCACTTTCATTTTTGATGATGAAGGTGAACTGGACAAACGGAAAAGGTAAATCTCCTTAACAGGGGTACAGATGCCAATTAAAACCTGACAGGTGTTTAAATCCCTGAAAAACGAAAACCAAAATTTGCCTTTTAGTTTTACTTTTTATAGTATTTTTAGCAGTGCTACAAAAATCTGGTGCCCTGCAACCTTATAGTGCACTCCCACTGACAGCGAGGTACTTATTATTATTATTATACAGTATTTATAAAGCGCCAATAGTTCACTCAGCGCTGTACATTACAAAGGGGGACAGAACATGTGACAGAACAATACCAATACAATGCAAAACATGAGGGGATCGAGGGCCCTGCTCTTTCGAGCTTACAATCTAGAAGGGATGGGATAGTGGTACAGGAGGAGATAGCTGTGGGGGATGGAGTGGTAGGAAGAGTGGAGGAGGTCAGCAATTTAGCAAGGGGTGAGGTAGGCTTCCCTGAAGAGATGGGTTTTCAGGGTGCGCCTAAAGGAGAGGAGAGTAGGTGATAATCTGATGGGTTGGGGCAGGGAGTTCCAGAGGATGGGTGACACCCTGGAGAAGTCCTGGAGGCGGGCATGGGAGGAGGAGACCAGGGAACTAGAGAGAAGGAGGTCTTGTGAGGAGCGGAGTGTGCGTGCTGGGCGGTACTTGGATATTAGGTCAGTGATGTAGTTCGGGCAGTATGGTGGACAGCTTTGTACGTCAGTGTTAGGATTTTAAATTTGATCCGTTGCGCAATCGGAAGCCAGTGGAGGGATTGGCAGAGGGGGGTGGCGGAAATGGAGCGGTTGGAAAGGTGAATGAGTCTGGCAGCCGTATTCAAGATCAACTGAAGCGGGGATAGCCAGCGGCGAGGCAGGCCAGTGAGGAGGGAGTTGCAGTAGTCGAGTCGTGATATGATGAGGGAGGGGGTGTGTGGGTGGGGGGGGGGGGGGAAGGGGAGGGGGGGGGGGGGGAGAGAGCATTATAGGTAACGCTGAAAGAGCGTTGTGACAGGTAGGATGAGAGCCAGGAGAGAGCAGAATCTCTGAGGCCGAGGGAGTGTAGTATTTTGAGGAGGAGGGGGTGGTCAACTGTGTCGAAGGCCGCAGAGAGGTCAAGGAGTAGGAGCACTGAATAGTGGCCATTAGCTTTGGCGGTTAGAAGGTCGTTGGAGAGTTTGAGTAAGGCGGTTTCGGTGGGGCGGAAGCCAGACTGTAGGGGATCGAGGAGGTTGTTGTCGTTGAGGTGAGAGCATAGGCGGGTGTAGACGAGACGCTCGAGGAGTTTAGATGTAAGTGGGAGCAGGGAGATGGGTCTGAGATGGGGGTTGTTTCGGGTCATTGGGGTCCAGGGAGGGCTTTTTAAGTATGGGGGTGATGTGTGCATGCTTCAGTGGGGAGGGGAAAGTGCCGTGAGGAGAGGGAGAGATTAAAGATAGTGGGTGAGGGAGCGTAGGATGGAGGGGGAGGGAGGTCGTAGGAATTGTGAGGGGATAGGGTCGAGGGGGCAGGTGGTGAGGCGGGCATCAGAGAGGATCTTGGAGACTTCCTCAATGGTAGTAAGGTCAAAGGTGTGGAGTGTTGGGGGGGAGCTTCAGTATGAGGAATGTAGGGTGGGGTGGGAGTGGAGGTCAGAGCAGTGGTGGGGCCGTGGGAGAGGGGTGATGAGGGGGTAGCCGAGTGAGGGGGAATGGGGTCGGAGGGAGTTTGAGCAGTGACGAAGTCCCTGCGGGTAATGTCGAGGGGGGGGGGGGATGAGGGGGTAGCTGTGTGAGAGGGGACGGGTTGAGAGGGCGTGTGAGTTGCGGCAATGTCCTTGCGAATTGTGTCAATCTTGTTTTTGAAGTGATTGGCAATCTCAAGGGCGGTGAGTGAGGTGCTGGGTGGAGGTGGGGGTGGAGAGAGTAGAGAGTTGAAGGTGGAGAAGAGTCGGCGAGGATTGGAGGAGAGGGCCTTGATGAGGGTCAGGAAGTAGGCTTGTTTGGCTGCGTGGAGGGAGGAGGTGTAGGTGCGGAAGGCAGATTTGTAGCAAGTGAAAGCTTGTTGGGATTTTGTTTTGCGCCATAGTCGCTCCAGGGCACGACTGCGTCGTTTGAGGGTTTTGGTGTGATCAGTCTGCCAGGGCTGGAGCGGTCGGAGTCTGATGTTGCGTGTGGTTAAAGGCGCTAGTGAGTCAAGGGCTGCTGACAGCGCGTTGTTGTAGGCAGTCATAGCCAAGTCGGGGCAGGACAGGGGGAGGATGCGGTCGTGGAGTTGATCAGCTGCAGAGTGAGGGGGGCAGGGTTAAGGTTGCGGGAGGTTACGGCTGGTAGTAGTGTGACATTTTGGAGGGGTTTTTGTTGGAGGACGAGGAGATAGAGAAGGTGATCAGGTTGTGGTCAGAGAAAGATCAGAGAAAGTGCCATTATTTATGCAGCAATTAAACTCATTTACGTACTTTAAACATTCCAAACTCTCTGTGTGTTTATGCATGTTTTTCAAATGATGTTCCAATATTTTACAATAAATTTGAGGAGTAGCCCATGCCACAAAGCTAATGAATACGTTGCATTTCCTCATACCAGTTTCACACATGTTGCCAAGTCTAATCTCCAAAGGCTCAATGGCAAGCCATGGGTCTTGGTAAATCTGTTTCCAATTTGCCAATTTTACCGTTTACTTTGCAACATCCGTGTTTGGATTAGGTGCACCCTTTCTATTACAATCTGGATAAATAAAAGCCTACAAATGATGTTCGGCAGGGCCACTTTACATTAAAGCATCCCTATAGCTTTAAAAAAAAGTGGCTGTCGAGTATAACATACCTGCAGCACCACCCAAAGCCCTGCTGTAACAGCTGAATTCCAGGCCCTTATGACAGACAAAACACAGATACTTCCTGCAGGCCAATAAAAGTGTTGCATTGAAGATTTTCAAAAGATATATTTTCGAAGAGACAGTGCAGAATAAATGCAGTGTAGTTTGTTTGTAAATGATAAATTTCTTCCATTGTGACTTTTAAAAATGTATACGTGAATAGTTGTCATGGCTCGGCATGCTCTGATCACCGCTGAGCACCTTCCAGGGTCCTCCCAAACTCCCCCTCTCTATCCTTCTCCTCCTTCGAGGCCCACTGCATCCGGCTCTTCTCTCCCACCCCTCTGAGGATTGCAGTAATCTATCAGCTTCCTGGACCCGTATCCCGCTTCCTCGATGACTTTTCCACCTGGCTACCCTTCTTCCTCTCCTCTGAGCTACCCACCATCATCCTTGGTGACTTCAATATCCCTATCAACGTCAACAACCCGGCTACATCCAAACTCCTCCGCTTAAGCTCTTCTTTTGCACTCACAATTGTGCACACAGTCCTCACCCCACACCGACGTGAACAACCTGGACCTCGTTTTCTCTCATCTCTGCACCCCCCACCACCTCCACAAACACCCCTTTCCCTCTCTCTGACCACAACCTCATTACGTTCTCTGTCTCCCCGTCCTTTAACACCTCACTCCCCAAACTTCAAACCCTCACCAGCTGTAACCTCCGCAACCTGAACCCGGCCCCTCTCCACTCTGCAGCTGACCGTCTGTACGACAGTATCCTTCCACTGTCATGCCCTGACCTGGCCACTACTGCGTATAACGACTCGCTGTCAGCTGCCTTAGACTTCTTAGCACCCCTAACCACATGCAGCATTAGACCCCCAACCGCTTCAACCCTGGCAGATCGACCACACTAAAAATCTTAAACGACGCAGTCGTGCATTGGAGAGATTATGGAGCAAAACCAGATCCCCTTGAGCGTTCCCCCTCTACAAATACGCCTTCCTCACCTTCACCCTCCTCCCTGCATGCCGCCAAACAAGCTTACTTCGTAACCCTCATCAAACACCCTCTCCACCTATCCTACAGCCGGCTCTCCTCCACTTTCAACTCCCTACTCTCTCCACCTCCACCCAGTACCTCACTCACCACCCACGAGATTGCCAATCACTTCCAAAACAAGATCGACGCAATCCGTAAGGACATCGTCAATGTTCAATCTACCTCCCCACTTAGCCTCCCTCCCACTATAACCCCATCAACTTTCCCCTCCTCTGACCTCGCAACTGCCCTGCCCCCCACCACACCTAACATCCCGCATACTTTAACCTCCCTAACACTCCGCTCCTTCAGCCTTGCTACCACTGAGGTCGTCACTAAGGTCTTCTCTGAAGCCCGCCTCACCACTTGCCCCCTTGACCCTGTCCCCACACAACTCCTCCGGTCACCCTCCTCCTCCATCCTACTCTCCCTCACCAACATCTTCAATCTCTCCCTCTCTACTGGCGCATTCCCCCCTCCCCCCTAAAGCACACACACATCACCCCCATACTCAAAAAACCCTCCCTGGACCCCACCGACCTGAACAACCTTAGACCCATCTCCCT